TTGTTTGGTTGAGAAGGTGAGTTGATTGTTAAGAAAACATTTATTTCAAGTTACCAAGTTTCGTTTGGGAACTTTGTTGTTTAAATTCTTAAATTCTTACTAACTTATTAAGAATGGTTAAATTCTTAACACCCTTGTTAGTAAGGTGAATTGCCCCGTGTTAGTATCCAGCATTGTCATGTTTCTGGACAGACTTCCTGCTCTTGTAACAAGTTGGATAGGTTAGCTAAGATGTTACATTTGAAGCAGCAAACACAGAAGATAAATCTACAAACCTATGTAAAGCCATAGCAGCTGAGCTTTTCTGTAACAGGATGTTTTCTGCATTTTGCATTGCACATGAACTAAGAAACGATTTCTAAAGATGTTCCTCTTAAACAAACCTGAGAGATCTTAGAACCTGCCTACTGTGTAATGTGTATTTTCCCCTCAAGACTTCTTAAATACTGTAGAAGCATTTGTCAGATGATGCTAGGCTGCTAGATATTTCATTTGCATTTAGAATTCTTTAAATCCAGTCATAGCTTTTGGTACATAGATCAATTGAACATGTGGATTTTTAGTGCTGCAATTAGTATGCAAGTCTTTTCTTTTTCTGCCTTTTGTTGATCTCCACACTCTCTCTCTGTTTACCAGAATGTGAAAATGTATTTCAACGGGTTTTTGATTCCCTGTGTCAGTATTCAGCAGCATTACCAAAGGTGATCATCTTTTTCATTCTGGTCACTGTACATTGTGAGTATATTTATAACAGAGGGAAACAGTTTGTAAGGACCAGTAAGCCCGATAAACTAATAATCCACAGCCTAATGCTGTTGCTTTTTTTTTTTTTACTTGGAGCTCATTTTAAGTGTTGAAGTGAACATTAACAAACTGCCACAAATTGTTGTGTATAGAAGAACAAACTGAATAGGAAATCTGAGTCAGTGACTGTATCTGTACTCTTTGTAAGTTGTTACCATTTAAACTCTTGTTCTTGCTGCATTTGCTATCATGAGGAAAATAGACAATCAAATTTGAAGCTGTAGAATAGAATTGAAAATTGAACTGAAAATTGAACTGAAAAGTAATTTTACTTTAAAATGTTTTTCAAATGTAGACATTAAGTGTGAAATGAATATGGCTAATGACCAAAGCTGGAAGAGTTATGCACCTGCTGATCAGCGAGATATTATTATAAATGAGGTTGATTTTTCCTGTTGACTACCTCATTCTTTCTCAGTGTGGTCTCATTATTTTCCTATCACATGTATAACCCCTTGGATATGAAGACTGAACCATCTACATAATAAAAATATTTTAACTTCTGTAGAGCTTTTAAAATGTTTCATAATGATCAGACCTATATATTTTTGTGTTTTCAGAAATTTATCTTTGTCAGATATGTATTATCTCTGGAACATGGAAGTTGTCCTCCTGATGCATGTTATGATTGATTAAGTTTTAAAAAACTTAAAAACATAATGGGTTCAGTTATTTAGCCAAGGTTTAATTTATACCCATCTTATAAATCCAGGCATCTCTTAAAAGACAGTTTAATTTAAACAATGGGCAAAGCCTGTTTTGGAACGATTGTGAGAAAGCCCAGATGCCATTAAATTCATACACCATTTGAGCAGGTGCTGTTATATTTACTGCAAAACTAGAAGCTTGATTGTACCCTGTATAGCAATATACTCTACAGTTTAAAAAAACAGTATTACAGAGAGGGATTTCAGTGCCAGCATGGAGGTGAATTTTTGATTAGGGATGGACTAAAAAAATCTCAGTTCTCAGAAGCCCCAGATGCTTATTAGGTTCTCTTGGCATGTCACATGATTATCTTCTTTCTTTTGTTCACGAACCAGTTCTCTTTCTTTTAACAAATGACTGGTCCTTAAGAAATTTTTTTTACTGCATACAAATTCAGTGATATTGATATATATTGATACATGCACCTGCTTGCATGCCCACACACCAGTTTTGGGAAATCACATAATTTAAATTAACCTCTCCAGACCAGAGATAATGATGTGATTCAGAGACTTAGCATGACAAGGGACTAACCTGAAGGAATGTTATTATTAACTGGCCTTCACAGATTTTTTTTTGCCTTTCCATTACAGTGATGCCTCGACTTACAAGCGTCTTGACTTGCAACCAATTTGAGTTACATCCAGCTCTGACTGCAACATTTTGCTTTGACTTGCAACCGGCGCTTTGTGATACAACCGGAAAAAAGGCCCCTTTCCCCCATTGTTCTCTCCCTCCCTTCTTTCCTGCCCTTTTTCTAACCTTAGAGGTCATCTTAGGTTAAAAAAAAGTCTCTCCCTAGTGGACAGATTAACCAGCGCCTTGAGATACAACCAAAAACCAGCCAGAACAGATGGGTAGAGTGGGTGGCATATATGTTAAATAAATAAATAATCACTTTTCCATGTATTCCTATGGGAAATGGTGTTACGACCAACTTGAGGTACAACCATCATCATGCTTGAGGGTGGCATATATGTTAAATAAATAAATAATCACTTTTCCATGTATTCCTATGGGAAATGGTGTTACGACCAACTTGAGGTACAACCATCATCTGGAACAAATTAAATTCGCAACTCAAGGCACCAGTGTACTTTAAAAACAGTTTAGTACCTATTCATTTTTATTGGATGCACCAAGTTGGTCATTGATTTCAAAGACTCAAGGCCTAAATTACCTTTCTTAGAAATTAGGTGCAAACAACCATTGGCCCTGCAGTGGTTATGTTGTGTCAGATTTCTTGTACACACAGCAAGCATGCAGATGTGATTTTACTACAACAAAACCCACAACAAAACATCATGGGAGGAGCTCTTGGAAATGAACAGAAATGAATTCGCCACTGTCCTGAGATTGAAGGAGAGGGGGACTTGTAGTCAATGAAAGAAAACAGAATCTTTTAGGTTTTAAAAGTGAAAGGAGTTGAAGACATGGGAATGTGAGAAAGGCAGAGAGGCTGTTTTTCTTAATTTACAGCCAGGCTGGTACGGTGTGAAACCTGATAAGGATGCAAGGACAAAGAGCCCCAGGGCCAAGACCCAACAAATTATTTTCTCATTGGAATGGAGATAACCCACCTGCATCTTCATGAGAATTGGGGGTGGAGTGAGCAGTTCTGCCTCTTTGAGTCAATTGGTTTATGGTGGAGTGAGCAGTTATGCCTCTTTGAGTCATTTAGTTTACAGTCATAAAGAAGGAGGTCCAAGGAATGTAGAAAAAATGGAAGATGGGTTATGTTAGAGAGAGACCATTGTGTGGAAGAGAACTTTTGCCTGAGAGAAGTTCTTGATGGTTTGTGTTATATAGTTTGAAGGGAAAATATGTAGGTAAGAGAAGAAGGAGGTGGGGCTAGCCCACCGTAGCCCAATTTTTAGTGTTTATTATTTTAATGGGAATTAGTTATTGTATTTATCTATGGTAATCCTTTGAACATGTTTTTATGCTAATGCTTGAGCAAAAACAAAGTGTTTCTATGAAACTATATTTTCTTAATAAACAATAATGATAAAAATCCTTATTCAGAACTGGTCTCTTGGATCAGGAGGGTTTGGCTAAATCCAGAGGAGTGCTAAAGGCCATTGACTAGCTACCATAGAGAAGTCCTATTTAACTGAGCTGTTGTGAGTTCTAAGGAATCACAAAGCCCATGGTGCAATACTTACAAAGTGCTGAGTAAAGTGTTCTTTAAAGGACAGGCTTGTTCAAGGAGCAAATGTTATGCTCTGCTGGAGGTTGAGGACTTGCCCCAGCGTAAAGTGGTAGATTTGTGGCCTGCGGAACTCCCTGCCTGAACGCCATATGCTCCTTAGAGAGATTTGGTCGTCACACCCACTAGTATATTGGGAGACAGAGGAAGTACAAATCAGCATAGAATTATGTTGTTCCCAAATAATAATTCCTGTTCCTCCTTCTGGTAGCTTTATTTCACTGGGGAGGAGCTCTGCTGACATGCTCTTTTGCTTACAGGTCAGGTCTCTTGTTAGATCTTATGTCACATGTAATGAAACAAAGGGAGTCTGTAGCAAAATGTTGCAACATGTAGTGCTGCGGATACGAATTCTGGCTCTTCTCTTCCATTTTATTTCCTCTTGTGTTTTCCGCTATCCTCTGGACTTCAACAAAGTCAGTATCATGTGGCTTCTGAGCATGCTCAGTCTTGTTTGGCTGTTCTGAGGATGCCCCTCTTTTTTAGGGTTATTTTTCTCTTTAAAAAAATAGTGCTTCTGCAAACTGTGGGGTTCCAACAAACCTACTGAAATTCTCTTGTACACAGTGGTTTTTGGATTCAATGAAAGCACTCACTGCCTAGAGGGGTCAAGAGGGAATATGGGACAAAACTAATTTGAGCAGAAGTTTGTAGTTGTAAAAATGGGTTCAGGTGTTCAGATTGTGTCATGAGTGTCATTGGAGGAACATCCTGCATACCTAGCAATAAACTTGTATGTGATTAATTCAGGTTTAGAGCTATCTGCTGAGGAAGTGAAACTGACGTGCTGCATTTTGTATCTATCTTTAAGTGAACAAAGAGCCTGTATGAAATGGCAGGTGGATATTTAGAAAAAGAAAGCCTATAATGATTTCCTTTTAAGTGGGGTGACAGCATGTCTCAAGATAACACAAGCTTAAGGGCCTGAAAGAAGCATGATTATTAAAGGCTAGTGACTTCTCAGTTCATACAAATTGAATTCTTTCATAGGTTGAAGTGCTAAGGAAATCCAGTGAAGAGTGCAGAGCATTGAAATAAAATTAGCATGTAAAGTGATTTTATATATTCTTGCTTGTAGCCACTAACTTTGAATCAGAGAGAGAAATCTCATTACTTATTGTGTAAAAGAGGTAATACTTAAATTCTCCCTTTCCTGTCCTTGATACAAAGGTTCTGCATATGAATGATAGATTTCCTGTGGTTGCTCAGAGATAGTGGATTATTGAACTGATGGAGATCTGTCTCTGTTCTCTCTCTCCCCCCCCCAACTCTTTTACAGGATAACTGATTTAGGAAACATCAAAAGAAGATTGTATTTATCAACAATCCATAAGGAATTGTCTGTAACCCCTCTGCATGCAAAAATTCCTCTCTTTATGATCAAGCGCAAAATTGTGGGTATCTTTATTCTTTTGCTTAAAAAACAATTTAAAATCCTTCTTTCTTTTACACTGCAGCACTTACATGTCTGTAAGAACCTGTTAAAGCTTATCATCCCCAATCTATTTCTCCGAATATAGGAAGTTAACTTCCAGTTCATTACAGAGTGGTGACTTGGATTTAATTGTACAAGGATGTGTGTTCATGCTCATGCATGCAAAAACCTCTGCACTGAAGTTTTTTGTGGGATTATCATTAAGCAGATGAACTATATACGTCTGTAAACTCTACCATGTTCCACAGTTACTACATGCGGATTCTTACTTCATCTAGACACTATACTTCTGTTCATATAGCCTAGTATTGCATTCACATTTTTCACGTTACACTGTTGTCTAATATTTAGCCATTTATCTACTAAGATTTAAGAGGATTTTGTGATATGCTTAGTAATGCTAAAACTTACATTTCCCTCCATTGGATGAAAGCAAATCATAGATCATATCTATAGAATATCCATGGTGCAAATTCTGTTATTCACCAACATTACCTCCTTCCACAGAGAGGTTACTTGTGTGCATAACAACAGCACCATTGTGATATTCATATCAACAAACAAATTATAGGAAGACAGTCAACAATTGTTGGGCACCTGCCAAGAATGGTACAGTTATTGGGTACTTCCTGCAAATGCTGAGAAAGTTTGTCATCCACACTTTGTTTGTGGATAACATTGGTAAGTTATTTCATATTTTAATCTTAAGTATCCCAACAGGAAATAGAAAATGAAGTAATTATGCTATATCATCCTTTTGGAATAAGGCATACCATTCAGGGGGCAGGGAGGCACCACTTGATTTTCCATGTACAGTGGTGTCCCACTTGACGATGATAATCCATTCCATTGAAATAGCTGTTAAGCGAAATCGTTGTCAAGCGAAAGTAAAAAAAACCATTGAAATGCATTAAAAACCGGTTAATGCGTTCCAATGGGCGAAATACCTCATCGTCCAGCGAAGATCCTCCATAGGGGAAGCCATTTTCGATCGCTGTCTTCCAGAAATAGGTCCGGAAAACAGCGGGACACAATTTTGAACACCCGACGATCAGCTGTAAAGATCATCATGAAGCGAACAATCGGTTCACAAAGCAGGGAACCGATCGTCGTAAAGCGGATTTTCCCCATTGAATCATTGTTTTGCAGTAGCAGTATGTGAGGGTTCAGTTTTCGGACGAAGCAGGGAACCGATCGTCGTAAAGCGGATTTTCCCCATTGAATCATTGTTTTGCAATAGCAGTAGCAATTACAAAAACATTGTCGTCAAGCGATTTCAACGTCATGTGGGGTCGTTGTGAAGTGGGGCACCACTGTACTGCTGCTCTGCATTACCTCTGCTATTTATTGTGATAGCACAGAAGAATAGTTCTGATGTGCAGCCCCATAGTCTGTCTGCATAGATGGGAAAGCTGCTTCTGTGTTTTGAATGCAGCAAGTTAAATTCTGCAGCTATTTCATCTCTGTGTTCTATCTGTCAATACACTCAGTATCATGGAAGATTGCAGCTCACAAATAGGTCCCAAGTGAAGTGTCCGAGTTGCTCAGATTTGGCCATCTCAGCCCTGAAAGAAGCAGAAATAAGCATGGGTTTCCAGGATAAGAAGTGCAGCTTTCCATAGTGCAAGTGATGTCGCTTTTTCTTCCACTGTAACTGTGAGATCTCTTTGTACTCACGTGAATAAGTAGGCCAGTCTGCATATCCAGCTATTTAGTGCACAGTACCCAGAATTACATGAATCAGCTTCCCTAAGCAGCATTGAAATACTCCCATTCTGCATTTTCTGTGGTGGAGTTGACCAAATCTTCGGGAGTATATGGCCAGTGAAACCTGTAGTATGACTCCATGAATAATTATTGACTGCCACATGTTGTATACAATGGAACCAATAAGTTTAATAGGATGGTCTAATTATGGACAGGTTTCTTTTTTAAAAAATTAGTGGTTGCCAGTTATTCTTATTCGGTTAATGAATTGTTTCTTTTTTATTCAAGGCGCTAGAGCCTCATTGGTAACATTTAGATTTATCACTTTATCCCATCCTCAGTGAAATTATAAGCAAGAAGGCAAATCATGTCAGGACAAGAAGTTTCCTAGAAGTCGAGTATTCTCAGAATGGAATTAGGAATTCACATGCCTAGCAACATCTTGATATGCTTTTATATGCTTAAGGATGGGACTTTAATTATATGAAATTAGCAGAGGTATCTAGCTTTGCAAGGAAAGAAATCCCTTCTTTCCCTATCTTGATTTTTTTATTCCTTCTTTTCTTTCTTCCACTCCCTCCTCCTTTACATTTCTATAGGCCTCTGTTTCTGTCCTTCCTCTCTCTGCCGCCCTTTTCCTCTACTCACTCTAACCCCTCGTTTATCAAGAACCAGAACTCAATCACTCTGTTTCATCTCTAAGGAAGGTTGGAGATAGCTGCCACCTGCTGTCAAAAAGTGGTCCTGCAGGCTTTACATAGACTTTAATTCACTGCGGGTTAAACCACAGAAGCCTCTGTGCTGCAAGGTCAGAAGACCTGCAGGTGTAAGATTGAATCCTCGCAACAGAATGAGCTTCCGTTGCTTGTCCCAGCTCTTGCCAACCTAGCAGTTTGAAAGAATGTAAAAATTTCGAGTAGATAAATAGGTACCACCACAGTGGGAAGGTAACAGCGTTCCGTGTCTAGTCGCGCTGGCCACGTGACCACGGAAACTGTCTACAGACAAATGCTGGCTATATGGTTTGGGGATCGGGGATGAGCACCGCCCCCTAGAGTTGGACACGACTGGACTAAATGTGAAGGGGAAGCTTTATCTTTACCTTATCTAAAATATATATTTTTAAAACGAAATAATTCCAAATACACCCCTGCCACGTTTCAAGCCTTTTGCTTTCACGGTAATGGAACTGTGCTGGAGACAGACATATGTGCATACATGCTCATATTTTTATAGGTAGTATATTTACTAATGCTTTTGCTGATTTAGGAACTTATTCAGAGATGTCAGTAAAACCTGTTTTTCTCTTTTCCTAGTGGTGTAATCTGTGCATTGACTTAGTGGCATTCACCAGTGAGATATTCAAAGGAGCTGTTTTCCAATCCTTGGATGGCATCATTGTTTCAGCTAACTGTAAACTGCGGAAAATTTTCACGTTGAAATCAAAACCTTTGGACACAACTGATGGAGATGGTGTGTTATCTTGGATCTCTTGGACGGTCCTTGGATTACATTTCTAAGCTTGTTTCTCTATCTTCTGTGATTAATTATTTGAGGGATTGATTTTATTGCAATTAATGAAAATGCAAGTCATCTGCATCTCTGGCGTTAGTGACATTAACTAAGTGTGATTACAATGTAGGTAGGCACTTAAATTTTAAAAAGCACTGCCTTTATTAAAACTGCTTTGTGGAAAAGATTCCATCTTTGAATTACCATACAAGATTGTTAATAATCTTCTGGTGAGCTGACTTCAGGTAAGTATTTCATTAAGCATTTTGAGAGAGAGTTTGTTAAGTAATTATGAGAGGGTTCTTCTGATGAGTTTGTCATTTTCTCAAGGTGGCTTCTAAAAAGAAACAGCCAAAACTATCCACATAAAATCTGTGTATTATTACAAACCATACATCTAAAGAAGAAAACACGGGTGATGACGGATTCCACTTTAACAGCTTTCCTAAATTTTCCTAAACAGATAGGACACATCCTGTTAAGGATCAACCGTATTCCTAGTTGATTTCTCCATGATCTGTGAACCTTTCCAGACTGACCATTTGGGGTGTGAGGTGGATTGGGCTACAAAGGGTCTCTTGAGGTGGGGGAAGCGATTACCACCTGTAGACCAATCAGCTACAATCAAGCACTTTTCCCTGATCTTCTGTGAAAGGTCAGGGAAAACAAAAGTAGTTTATATGTGGTTCCTCTCTCCCTCTGTCCCTGACGTTTCCTTTTCTCCCTTCCCGCCTCCTGTTTCCCTTCTCTTTTTCTCCCCCCACTTTCACTTGGAGTCTGCAGCCATAATATTGAGACCGCTGAAGGGTGCTGTCTCTGGGTTAAACAGAGCACACCAGGAAGAATGCATGCCCTTCTACTGGGACAGAAAGGTACAAGATAATTCTTAAAGGTGAAGGGTGGACCGTTCTAAGCAGAAATACAAATGGACATGGTCTTTTTAAAAAATCCGAACAGTGCCCTCAATGATCCATAGACCATATCTATGTATATAGCAAAGTGGACAGGCTCTGTGTCTAAGGAATAGGAGACCTTTCAACTCTGTTCTGCAAACTCAGGGTTAAATTTCCTCCAGTGAAATGATATCCCCGCACACAACCCTTGTTTTCCATTCAGATCCGTTACTCTCCCAGCATCCACATAAAAGGGTGTTAAGATGCTCTTAGCAGGAAATTATTCAGAAGGTTTTTTTTTATTTTGCTTTCTAACCCAGGTTTCATCTATAGCCCATACATTTGTTTTAACCTTGAATTTTCCTGGTTTGCTTCTTCATCCTTTCAAATGTTGTGCTCTTGTTTCAGTGATCTGGAACAATTTTGATGCTTAAGGCATCACTGTATTTGGACCATTCAGTTTCATTTGTGGGGGAGAGGGGATGAACCACTCTGTGGGTCAGGAATTTTTATTGTATGATGTGGTCTCTGGTTGCGGAGCTAGAAGTTGGGAGTTCAGTTCCATACTGTGCCTCCTTGAGAGGGGCTGGATTTGATGACCATGGAGTCCCTTCCAGCTCTGCAGTTCAAAGGTTGTTGTTGTTGTTGTTCTTGTTGTTATTATTATGTTAACTCTTGTAAACTTTCCTCAATGTTTCTAACACTATCACCTTTCCAGCCTACTAGGAAGGTTGCCCTTTAAGAAACTAATACTGCCATTATATACAACTCAGTTCTACTACCAACATGCTGGTTATGTTTATGGGAATAGAACTCAGAAGTACACAATGAGAAATTTGATTTGGTTTGGGCAAATCAAGCTAGTTCTGATTTGATGATCAGAAAATCGATGATCAGAAAAATGAGCTTTTCTAATCTCAGTTCTGATTCTGAAATCACTTCTGCTGCTCATGTAGAGAACATGGATTCCACTTGTTGCTGTGCATGAATCCCAAATTGCACCTAAACTGATATTTTTCCTCACTTGATGGCAGCTGCAGCACACTATCTGTAGGCCTTTAGAGGTTCAGTTCCTTTTTCCTTTATGTGTGTAATATTGGCATCCAAGGCACCTCAGAAGATGCAGGTTTTTAGATATAAGAAACTTTATCTTCCAATGTCCATGATGTTTAGGATGTTAATATTCAGGATATGAAGGAAAAAGAAGACAAGCTCTTAAAGTCCTTTTGCAGCAGTTTCTTCTCTCACTGCTGCTGTAATAGTCACTTCTGGTCAAATTAATTGGAAGAAGGATGTTCAGTGCAGTGTATGGTTTGAGCTGCAGAAGATCTTTGCAGAAGGGATGGTACTTGATTTTGGATATGGCTGATCATTATAAACTGGACAAATCTGTATCTCAAATTGCCCTTCCCCCAAACTCGGGCATTTCCGTTGTTAACTATAAAGGCACATATAAGATGAAGCAGAATTCTTTGATTATAAAAGTGCAGCAGCGAGTGACAGGTAGCTAGAAGCAGCCATTAGTGAGCTTCTGCAGATGTGCTGGGCATTTAATTAGTAGAGCCTCTCAGGTGTGATGCAACAGGTCTCTCTTTGCCAACAAAAGGAACTGTCACTGGCTGTGGGTGTGTTAGTAGATAAGCTGACGGCTGCCTACAATTACTGTTTCTTGCCACAAGGTGATACATTTTGGGCGCTCCTATTAGTGAGCCAATGTGTCTTGGTGTAAACAGACTTTTTCCCTCTCCATCTGGAACATCTTCCTGCAACTGTGGTCCAACTATATTGTTGAATATTTTTAAACCCCCAAAAGCGATACTATTAGGATAGCACTTTAATTTTGTTTTTAGTCCACCAGGTGGTTTCACTTCGGAGGGCTTTGATTTTTCAAGAGCCTGCATTTTGTTTTGCAAGCCATGCCACCTGTGCTGGCAGTCTTTAGCCATTTGTTGCCTAGTTGATTTGTTGTGTGTCAGTAGGAGAGGAAGACTGTTATACTGAGATGTTTATTGATTGGGTGGCAGCTGAACAGCTGATTCTACCAAGACAAAAAAGAACCGGCATTGCTTTCCAGTGAGACTAGCATAGAGGTGGTTTAATCCTGTAACTGATATACTATACAGATATAAGATTGCAAGTATCGTATTTGCCGGTGTATAAGGCGACTGGGAGTATAAGACTGCCCCCCAACATTCCCACTCAGAATGTAGAGTTTGTTATATACTTGCTGTATAAGACTGCCCCCTCTTCCGCATGCGTGATTCTGCTTTGGCTGCATCATGGGGAGAGTCCCTTTTGACCCTTTTGGTTCCTTTTTGAGGCGGCAGCCATTTTAGAGAGGTGGCTGCCATTTTAGAGAGGCGGCAGCCATTTTGGAGAGGCAGCAGCCATGTGGTCGCATCTCAAAATGGCTGCCGCCTCTCTGCTGTTCCGACAGTCAGCTGTTCGGCGCTAGAGTCAGGCTGTTCCCAGGCTAGGAGCGGGGCACTACTGGGCCTTACTACCAGGTAAGTGACTTCGCTGGGAGAGAGGGAGGGTTTGCTAGACATGCACCCGGCGTACAAGACGACCCCCCCACTTGGAGGCATGTTTTTCAGGGCCAAAAAGTTGTCTTGTACGCCGGCAAATACGGTATGTTTCTTAAGGTAGACAGAGAATGCATGGAACAGGAGTGGCAAACTTTTAGAACTCTTGATATCTTGGACGACAAACCCGGAGTCTCGGGTCACTGTTGCCAACCAAAAAGAAATAAGTCCAAAACATCTGGGGTACCTAAGGTTTGTCACCCATGACCTCGCAGATTAGTGCCAGATCTTTCACATTTGTGATTAGAGATTAGTATTAGTTTGGTGGTTCAGTATTGTTCAGCAGATATGGCCCACAGGCATGTAGGTGCCCTGAATTCCACACCACGCCTCCTCCCGTGGGCACCTACTCAGAGAAGAAGGCAGGGCAGGAAATCCTGTGGCAGTGCTTCAGGAGGAGGCGGGGCACAAAATCCAGGGTGACTGCATAGCACCTGTGGGCCCGATACCCCAAACTGCAGTAAGTGCCCATTTGTACTTATGATGTTTTTTTTAAAATACTATGTTTACTGTATATGTCTTGTATTATATGTATAAAATTTAATTTGTTTAAACATTTAGATCTGGTTGCCTACACTGTCATTAGTGTATTAGTGGTGGTGAAAATCAAAACAAAACTCCAGAAGGATCTCTGAACTTGGTGAATGGGTGATAAAAGTAGAAAATGCAAATAAGAGTAAATAAATGTATATTAGTGAATTTCCATTTATCACTCTCCCCTCCCAATTACTGTAAGACACCCAGATTCTGTCAATTTACAACTTCATTTTCATTACCGTGCTTCCCAGTTTCATCCACCAGACCACTTTCCTCTTTGTGAAAAATGGTGTCTGAGACAGTATCATAATTTTTTGTTGTGGCTTCACCCTTGTAGGTCAGTCGGGCACTGAAGTCTAGAGGGAAACTTTTGCCATGAGATGAAAGAATAAAAGAACTATATCACGTTAATTGACTACAGATAGAAAACGCTTCCATAAAAAACACTTTGAATGTAACCTTCACATCAGGCTGGTGCATAATGAGAGATATATACCTCAGCTTTCTCAAACCCAGTCCTGACACTTCCTGAATATTTGTATGAAGCAAAAGTTCAAAGAATAGCACAGCTGTGGCAGGACATTTTTATAAAAGTGAACAGGAATTGGTCTCATTTGTGAAACAACGCAGGCTAATTATTTTGCACTGAAATTATTCATTTTAATCAGGATTGGAACAGTGAGGCTGAGCCTTTGAAGTGATCCATGGAAATGGGAATCAATTTGATAAGCAGATTTCTTTTTGTAAAGCTGTGGATATTACTCTGGAGGTCGAACTGTTTCCTCATGGTTTGTTTCAGCTTTTTTATTTCTTGTTAATCTAAGAAGGTGAAGTGGCTTCTGGTAAAAATGATTGACATACTCAGCTGGTATTCCTCCTAGCCTCTCGCTTCCTTTTCCCAGTTGGAGATTGACTTTGTGTGCTGTTTACCTAGTACAGTGGCAGGTTTTGCAGAACAGTGCCATCCAACAGAGTTCTGTTCTTTGATATAGTTTCCTTCTCTATTACTGATTGTGGTCTTGCCAAACAGCATGTATGCCTCTGAGCCTAGTTTTGCAGTATTGGGACAAACCCCTCAAAATGCATTAAAAAATAATACAACCTGCAGAGCAAGCAAATTGTATTTATGTTTTTAAAGATTAGATGAAATGTGCAAAAGACAAAGATCTTGTACTCCATGTCACTCTGATGACATGGGTGTTGGATTGATTCTGACACAGAAGCTTACTTTAGATTGTTCTCAAGTTACTGAATTGTACTGAGGCTCCTCGGGGTATCATAAGAACTGGGTCAGAGGGTTCAGTCCTGCCCAGCTGATTGATTACTTACAGCCCTTTCTCAAATGTAACAACTTCATTTACTGTAGTTATAGAGAACCTGAATTTTGTACACAGCATTGCTGTATTGGATACTTCAGAGAAATCTCCATGATCTGAATGGTGAGATGAGCTAATTGCAGAGTGTATTTTAATTGCAAAACCTCTCCACCCTGAAATCTAATTAATTCTTGTCCCCACACATAAATTATTTTAACAGTACGTTAACAGCAATCATGCATATGCAATTATGCTTCCTAGAAAAGATATAACAGCTGCTGATTAGCAGTAGAGTTAAGGGACCAGAAGGACTTAGATCATTTTCTTATCCAACCCTCTTCTAAGCAGAGTTTCTATTCTCTATACTTATGAAAATATTAAACAATATTAAGATAACCAAACCAGAAGCTTTTGATAATGCATTTTAATCAGGGCTGCCACTGGTGTTTTTTAAATATTAAATGCTAACCCCACACATGCACACATACATTGCAAGGATCTCAAAGACTTTCCCAGGTCAAACTGAATCCCTAGAGAACCTCAGAATCTGCCAAGTTGGGAATAGCAAACTTTTGATTAAAGCAGCGATCCCCAATCTTTTCGGGACTGCAGACCGGTTGGGGAGGGGCGGGCTCCATGTGCAGGGGGGCACCCCCGCACTCACAGGTGGGCGTGTCGTACTCGCGGAGGGGTGTGTTGCACTCACATGAATACGGGGGGCTGAGATCAGTCTCCGCGGCCCAGTTCCAGGGAGCCCACGGACCACCACATGGCTGCAGACTGGGGGATGGGGACCCCTGGATTAAAGTCAGTTGCTGATGATGTCATCAGCTGTACACATGTGGAGCTGCACCAGCATAATTCCAGGCAACCGTTCTTATCCAGTAAAAATCATGATATGAATTTTAAAAGTTATTTAAATTTGTTAGCTTTTCTTAAGTTATTTTCTCATTCTTGAGCCTTAAAATTCCAAGTGCCATATTATAACTATTGGGCTAGAAGCTTTTAACTGTGACTGCTAAATTTTCCAGTGTGTATTTCTAAAAGCTTATGGGATATGGCAGTTACTTTTAAATTGCTACTGTAGTTAATTTCAGCTGTTCTGTGTTATTCCTTTATCTGATCAGTGGAGGAAAGGGACACCTTTACCTTTTTTACTCATTCTTGCTCTTATTTTCCATTCACAGCTGATGGGGCAACAGATACAATTCCTCGAGCTTGTCAGTTAAATTCAGATGTGCCACAATTCACACAGGTGTTGAATATGAACAAGCTGCGCTCAACAGAACAGAAACATGGAGGTCATCTCTTAACCGCACCAGAATTAGGTATGCTCTAAGAATATTTACAGGTTAAACACAGTGGTTGTTTAATGAGGGCATCAAAATTGCTATCTGGCTCTCTAGCTAAGAGACATTGACCATTCTGTGAAGTCAAAATAAGAGAATTCTAAAGAATTCATTGCCTGATTGTTCCCACTGGAAATCAAAACAACTAAACAAACTATAAGCCCTCTCTTTATGGCTTGCTTTTGATGACATCCAAACCCAGCAGTCTGCCTTGTCTTTGTCTTGACAAGCTAGAACCGTAAGCCACAGTTCTTCAACGTGGTTCTCTATGAATCTACATTGGTGGGTTAAACAGCGCCTGCGCTGGTTCCTCTCGGAATTTTCCAGAGCTATGAGAAAAGATACAAAGTTTTAGGTTGCCCTCTACTGCGCATGCTCAGCCCGCCGAAACCTAGTTCCATTTATCCGCCCGCGGAGTTGTAACCTCTCGGATAGAGCTCCTTCTATTTCATCGCTATTTTCAGTTTTTCAGCTTGACCTGGCTTGTTTTTCTCGTCTACCAACCATCCGTTGCCCTGAACTCGGACCGATTGACCTCTCTTTGCCTCTGGTGATTTATCGCAAGTACTTTCGCTTTTCGCTTGTTCCTGACTGCGGCCTATTACCTCCTGCTGAGGCGCCACGCGCCTCTCAGACTCTTTCAATTACCAGCTTTCTCGCTTGTTTCCTGCCGCTTAGCTTATGTCAGCTAAAAAAGGACCCTTCAGCCGCTGTTCTGCCTGCTCTTGCTGAGGCGCCACGCGCCTCTCAGACTCTTTCAATTACCAGCTTTCTCGCTTGTTTCCTGCCGCTTAGCTTATGTCAGCTAAAAAAGGACCCTTCAGCCGCTGTTCTGCCTGCTCTAGGAAGCTTCCCTTCCAGGATCATCATTCCCTCTGTCTTTTCTGTCTGGGTGAGGCCCATTCGACCACCCATTGCAGGCATTGCAAGGAATTCACCAAAGCAACATTGAAATCCCGTCAGCAAAGACTCAAGTATTTTCTTTGGAACAAAACTCTATCTGCCTCTCAACCATCGGACATGGAATCGGTCCAATCTATCCGTTCGGAGGTGACTGTAGTTTCTTCTTCTCCTCTTTACAAACTGTGTTACATTCTCTGGTTTGTCCACCTTTTGAGCCGATGGCTACTTGTGAATTAAAGTTTCTCTCCCTAAAGACTTTATTCCTTGTGGCTATTACTTCGGCCCGTAGAGCCAGTGAATTGGCTGCTCTCCGTGCTGATTCCCCTTACCTTCAATTCTTCAAGGACAAAGTGGTGTTATACCCAGATGTTTCCTTCCTCCCTAAGGTTGTGTCAGATTTTCATGTCAATCAGCCCCTGTTGTTACCTACACTCTTTTCTGAACCTTCTTCAGATGTTGAACGCACGCTCCACTGTTTGGGTGTTCGTCGTGCATTATCCTTTTATATTACAAGGACCAAGGACTTTAGGAAAGTCCAAAGACTGTTCTTATTTTATTATGGCCAACGTAAAGGGACTGCTGCTTCAACTTCAACTTTGTCCAGATGGCTGGTTTCCACCATTTCTTTGGCCTATGAGTTGCAACATAAACCTCTCCTTGAAGGTCTTCGGGCTCATTCTACAAGAGCTGTTGCTACATCCACGGCCCTGCTGCGAGGGATAGACATCCCTGACATATGTAGAGCAGCTATCTGGTCCAGTGTGTCTACCTTCATCAAGCACTACAGATTGGACCTCAGGGCCAAGAATGAGACCAGATTTGGGAGGGCTGTCCTTACATCACTGTTGCAGTGACAGCCCACCATCCTGTAAGTAGCTTGGTAGTCACCCACCAGTGTGGATTCATAGAGAACCACGTTGAAGAAGGACAGGTTACTTACCTGTAAACATGGTTCTTCACGTGGATTCTTTATGAATACACACGACCCGCCCAACCTCCCCACGTGTCCGTCACTGCTGATTGAGTTTCCAACTCTTTCTATGTGCGGGCATATGGAACTCGGTTTTGGCGGACTGAGCGTGCGCAATATAGGGCAACCTAAAACTTTGTATCTTTTCCCATAGCTCTGGAAAATTCCGAGAGGAACCAGCGCAGGCGCTGTTTAACCCACCCGTGTGTATTCATAGAGAATCCACTTGAAGAACCCTGTTTACAGGTAAGTAACCTGTTCTTTTTTCTTGTCTCACAACTCAAGATTTGTTGGGAGAAGAATTCATGGACAGAAGTTCAATGGCTTATTTAAGTGTTCCCACTAACAGCAGTAGCTGTTATGCAGGATATGTGAATGTCCTTCACCTAAACTATACATTAGGCTTCCTGTAGAAACTTGGCTTATTGTGATGTATGAATTCAGTTCTCTTAGTCTGCTGTTAAGTTTCTAGTGTAAACAATCTAAAGGATTTCACTCAAAGGCCAGTTCACTTTTGATATTCCTCGTTGCATTGGGCATGGGAGTGTGGAAGGAGTCCTGTGTGTTTATGTTGTCTCCAATTGCAACATCTGCCTTTTCCCTTTGGAAGTGAACAACAGGCAAAATTAATGGTAAGAAAAATTCTCTCTACCCTGTGAATTTGAAGGTTCTTCAATGTGATCTCTATGAATCCACACTAGTGGGTTAAGACAGCACCTGCGCTGGCCTCTCAGAATCTTCTAGAGCTATAGGGAAAAGTAACAAAGTTTGAGTTGCCCTGTATCGCGCATGCTCCGCCCACCAAACCCCCCCAGTTCCATTTTTTCCGCCAGCAGAGTTGGAACCTCTTAGTTAGAGCTGCATAAAAAAAATTATTTCTTCACCGTGCATTTGACCTGGAATTGCCTTTTCGACTTCCGTATTTCTGTTGCCCTGACTACGGACCGTTTTGACTTCTCCTTTGCCTCTGGTGATACCACAAGTACCTGAATTGCCTCTAATTGCTACCTATTTACTGCCCACTGAGGCGCCACGCGCCTACTGGACTTCTTCTATTATCAGTTTAACTGCTTGTTTCCGACCTCCATTGGCTTATGTCACCTAAAAGAGGCCTTAGCTGCTGTTCGTCGTGCTCTAGGAAACTTCCCTTCTCAGATGGACATTCCCTGTGTGTTTTTTGTTTGAGAGAGACTCATTTAACTACCCACTGCAAACACTGTAAAGAGTTTACCAAGGCTACTCTCAAAGCTCGCCAACAACGCCTGAAATATTTTTTGTGGAACCAAACTCTTTCTGCCTCACAACCATAGGACATGGAGTCTGCTCAATCAACATGCTCTGTCCGTTTTGAAGTAAAAGTAGTTTCTCCAGCCCCTCTTCAGTCTGCCAAGGAGAAACCCAAGGAAAAACCTAAGAAGAAGCAGACAACTAAGAAAATACTAACCAGTTTGTCTTCTCCATCGACTTCTTCTGCTCCATCGACATCCCAAGAACTGAAACAGAAGAAGACAGCGATTAAACCTAAAGTGAACTCCAAGGAGCTCACTTTAGTCGTCCCTCCGGTCTCAACATCTCTTCCTTCACCTATACTGGAAGACCCGTCTCGAGACTGAGATTCCATGTCGGAAACGGGCGCCTCTTTACCACCTTGACATTGAGAGGTCGCCAACTGCTAGCCAGCTACAGCAAGCCATTCCTGGCATAGCTGATGCCCCTACTAGCCCTGTGTTGACCGGGCGGGCATGTCGATCCCAATCTTCAGTGTCGGGATCTCTTGGCTCCAAGTCTCCACCTCCACCCCGAGGGAGACCGGAGAAACCCCTGGAGGCTCCCTCCCCTCGACGCCCTTCAACGGAGCAGGACGAGGGTCCTCCATCTAAGAAACATCAACGTAGACACAGGCACAAACATGGTTATGGCTCTGGTGTCGAAAAACACAGGAGGCATCAGCATCGAGATGATTCCTCCTTCTCTGATTCTGATGATAGTACTGAGAGAAGAAAGGCACGCCGTTGACGTCGAAGAAGAAATTACTCTTCTGAATCATCCTCGACATCGAGAGACTGCAGAAGAAGAAAGAAGGCGTGCTGTGCCTCTTCTTCATCCTCAACATCTGTCTCGCCACCGAGAAAACGTCAACACTGAAAACATCTTGGTGTCAACACACAGAAACAGTCGACATCGACAGGGGCAAGAGCATTCACGTTGAGGAGCCTTAAGCACAATGATCAACCTGCAGATCCCTGACCATCTCAGCGTACCATGCCTCAGAGACCCTCCACTGAGACAGACAGAGGTCAACACCCTAACGTTTTTCCTGTCTCGGATGATGATCATCAGGTCTCTGAAGATTCTTCTGACCAGGAAGAGGACTTAACATCTGAGGCTTCCCTAGAGACACATCTACCAGGGGAACCTTTGGGGTCGGATGCTGCTGACATCTACCTTTCCTCACCCTCTGAGGACTTTTCCTCTTACACTCAAAGACAGACAGAGGTCAACACCCTAACGTTTTTCCTGTCTCGGATGATGATCATCAGGTCTCTGAAGATTCTTCTGACCAGGAAGAGGACTTAACATCTGAGGCTTCCCTAGAGACACATCTACCAGGGGAACCTTTGGGGTCGGATGCTGCTGACATCTACCTTTCCTCACCATCTGAGGACTTTTCCTCTTACACTCAGATGGTTTCTCAGATGGCAACCACCCTGAAGATGGAAACAGAAAAATCACCCACATGCGAGGACGATTTGATCTTCGGTGATATCAACAAGGAGAGGTCGCATCCTGTCAGTCTCTCCTATGTACCTGAGTTACTGGACTTAATTATGGAATATTGGGAGCATCCTGCTAATTCCACTTCAATTTCCAGGAGAACTGAAAACCTTTACTGCATTCATGGACCTAAGACTTCTTTCTTATTAAAACATCCCACTCCAAACTCTCTGGTAGTGGAGTCCAGTGCCTCCAAGATTCCTACTAAAGGGCATCCTACTCCTTCCAATAGGGAGGGTAGAAAGCTTGAAGTTTTAGGGCACCACCTGCACTCTTGTCCTCAGGGCAATTAATTACTGTACTTGGTAGCCATGGGTGCTTACCAAAAACA